CTCTCTCTCTCTCTCTCTCTCTCTCTCTCTCTCCCCCCCTCTCTCTCTCTCTTCAATTCCGATTCAAAAGTGTATCCCAGGTGGCTGATCTGATTCATGCCGCGCACTTCTGTAGGTATACTGTGCCGCACGCACGAGTGCGGGATGGCTTGCCTATCGCCCATGTCTACGGCGCCTTACGAAAAACACTTTTCTGTGATCGCAGCCACTGACATAAGTCTGCCCTGGCTAACTACCAGGCGCTCGAGCTACCCTAAACAAGTGAATGCAAACCAAACTTGACCAGTTTCAGATTTGTCCGGGATTTGTCTAAAAGTCTCACAGCAAACACAAATGCGTTACACGCACGTCAATATTTTAAGCCTACAGCATGACCATCGACCATTGTGATTAGGCGGAGCTCTTTCATATCCTTCCTCGATGAAAGATAAGAGTAAATCGAATCGGAGACTGTCGCCCCGGTGGCTCGCCGAAGCAAACAACATTGTCTCTTAGAATGCAATCTGCAGAAAGAAGTCTGGGCGACGTCACAACAACGTTGGACTTAAATGGAATGCACTCGAATAAATGAAATCTTCGCGTTTCACCTTTATGGCGAATGCTTGTGCAGCATCCCCGGGTCACCGAGAACGGCTATATGTCCTTAATGAAATTCCATCAAATCAAATCAAATTGAATCCATGTGGAATAATGATGTTTACCTTAGCGAAAAGAGAAATGAGTATGATGCGAGCAGTACGCCCGGCGTCCCTGATTGCCCATTACGCTCGCTTTGTTACGATCATCCAGCATAGAGCCCCGTGACTTTCAATAACAAACAAAAAAAAAAAAAAAAATTAGAGAAGACAAAGAGGGGTGCAGGATTGCAAACTTGAGTGAAAGTAACACAATGACAGTGATTTTTGAAAATACTTAAGGGAAAATTTTAGTGGTTTCTTCTCAGAAAAAGAAAGATTATGACGAGGAAAAATGGCATCGATTACCGATTTACGCCTGCGGGCAGTACAGTTAAATTGAGAGATAAAAAATATTCCTAGCTTCTCTAACATACATAAAAAGCATCTATTGGACTCTGTGGGTCTATTTACAGCTATCCCCGTTTACTTCAGAAACTGCATCTTGAGCATTTGTGGCAAATTTTGACAAACTATGAAATTCCATATCCGAGACCCGTTTATGGTACAGTACCGATCAGTAAAATATCGACGATTTCAAAGTCCCCCGAGTTCAACCGTTCGTTGAAATGACGCGTTTACGCCCAGGTGGACAAAAAGTGTATTGCACCACAAGTTTGCAAACGTGTTGAAAACCTACAACACTGTAAAATAAATTATCGTGATTTTACGAAATTTTCTCAAGCAAGAAAACTTCGTTTTTAATAAATTACGTTTACGGTGTAATTTTTACGAATTGCTTTGTAAATTCAAGAACTCTAAAACTAAAGATGACGACATTTACATGTATGTTTTCAAATTTTATGACTTATGATAGAAATTTGCAATTTTGAAATTGAAATATTTTTGTTTGTAACTTTACTAAACGTTTCGTTAATTAAATGTTACGAAAATTATTTTGTACGAAGCATTCCTCTTTTCCCCCGTCAAATCACGAAAACATTTTTTTTTTAAACGCTGGCAGAAAACGCTTGCAGCGTACGCAAAAAGTGCGTCGTTATAGATCGTGTCCTTACTCCAGACTCCAGAGAAACACGGGGCCTCTCCTTGGTGTACTTACTTGTAACAACTGACAATCCCCGGCGTGCTGACTGTCACTATACAGCGACCACCAGCGACCACAACAACACGTCGTCACAGTTTTTATCTCGTCCCTCGCTGGCGAGGCCCAGGCGGCCGCGGGTGGTGAGGGGCCCAGAGGAGAGAGGAGGGGGGGG